GAATAAAACAATGAACATTCAGTTTGTTGTTAACCGCGTGTTCTCACTATGAGCTGACCGTATTACTGAATGAAATCAGAATCTCTGAAAATCAATGCTTGCATGAAAATTACAACTGGGTTTTTGGATTTCTCTTAGCATTCTCAATAAAGTCTTTATTATGAAGTAGTTAATGGTGAGGTTTTTGTGTTGGTCAAAACATCTTTACATCATCAGCCTAGTTCCAATGCTATGCAGGAAATTTAAATCAACATGAGAGATAACATCCAGTTACACAACAGTCTCTCCATTTTATTTCCCTACATTGTTGCACCAATAATAAACAGTGTGCCCACTTCCTCATTCCTTCAAACAGAGGATACTTCCACACATTCACACGGTTCACAAATCTACTTAAATTAACTGGGATTAAATCTAGTTATTCTCTGTGCACGCTTCTAGCTATTGCCTAACCAGATTAGACTGTGCATGTCAACATATTGCATGTGCTGAGTTCACGTCTCTCCACACAACATTTGACCAAAAGTGCACAACAGCTAATTGACAAACCAGTGTTGCAAACACTGGTGTGTCTAAACACCTCCGCAATTTGAAACACAGAAGCTCAAGTGCAGCAATGTGGTCAGTTTCAGTTTCGTGCATTTTACTCTCACTGAATGAGGCTTGCTGAGTGGGTGTCTGAGGCAGTGCAAACAGCAAACACTTCTGACCTGACCCAACATGGAGGTGAAAGCTAATTATTGTGATTGGCCAGTGACTCAGTCCAGGCACACGCACGCAGCACTCTCTCATGCGCACCCCAAAGGAGAGAGGTACACGGAGGGCTGATGTTATGCCAAGTTTTGCCTGCCTGCTGAGAACTGTATGCATGTCGAGGGAACATACAGGGCTAAAGCGGAAACTACGGGTGTTATGCTGAGTTCTGCCAAGTATGGTAAAAACTTTATGGTTTCGTTTTGGCTCCATGATCACACACAAAACAACACCAGAGGGACATATATGTTATATAGTGGCTGTCTGAGCAACATTACCATGGAGCATGTTCTGTCAGGCATTTTATTGCCCCCTCACCCATCTTTCCACCACCTCATTCAATCCAAACACACAGCTCATGTACACAGTGAAGCTGAAAACATTTAAAAGAAAATACATCCTCACAACAGCAACATGCTCCATTTGTGTGATAAAAAAGACTGTGCCACATTATGTTTACTGATGTAGAAACTCCCTTTACGCTGCAAATCAAAGAGACGGGCTGCTATATGGACAGATCACATTAAAAGTATCTTTGCAATGGAGTGGTACCTTGGTGTTTTAGACATTCAAAAAGATCTTTATTTCCTGACTGTTTTAACATTCAATCTAGAGGGCCTTTGAATTATTGTTTTTCAAACTTGGGGATATAAAATTAGATTTTATCCATAACCACAGATGCCTTGTCGACACACGGCACAAGTTACAAGTCGCAGCTTGAAAAGCTTCAACTGATGTAGATTTGTTTTACTGTGCATTATATCCTACAGTGCCTCCAGCACCGTTAAAGCTTGGCAGGATAATAGCTTTGGTGAATGAGAGAAAACTGATTATCCTGCTGATTAAGCACAACAATGACAGCACACATGATAGGGCTGCTTGAAGCAGCAGGTGAGCAATTACAGGAAGGAGGAATATTCAACGGCAGAACAACAGTGTGTAAATGAATTGGATTCTTGATGTAGGGAATTTAAGGTTAATGCAGGGATTACATTTTTTTAGGGCAAGGGTTTGTATATAAAATACAGCACCGGGAAACTGAAAGAGGGAAACTGACATAATCCAGCATTTACTAGGGGACTAGATGATACAGATCTAAACATATTGTACTTAGTCAAAACCAAAACATAAGTCAAAGGTAGGAGGGGAATCAAATAGGCAACAATTAAATGTTCTATTTAGGAGCATATCTGCTCAGTTATGACGTATCTGACATCACTTTTAATTATGTGTCACTGCACATGACCCTGCATCACCACTTCAGTGAGCCTGCAGCAACATACAATACTTTAAATAGCTGACCAGCAGCAGCACAGTATAGAAGAAAGACATCCAAGTCATGCTCTAATTCACATAGCCCATGTAACTGAGACAGTCCCTCCATTCACTGCTGCCTATCTAAACATGGCATTCAACAATGTCAACAATTCTGCCATCTGCCAATTGGTCTGCAATCTGGATAAGGGGAAAAAAACATGTCCGGGCACCAACATATCTCCTGTATCTTCTGTTTAACTTTTTAACTGTGTATCTGTATTTTGTGGAAGTCAGCTCGCAAACCTTTTACTTCCTCTCAATGCAATCCAACTACTGACACTATCTGTTTACAGAGCCTAGCAGAAAATGCCACACCCCCCACCAGGTAACATGACAGTCAGCTGGTGACCTCATGACAGGTTATCAGTAAACACTGAGCTCCAGCTGTTTGTACTGGTCTTTCTTCATGACCAATAACTACCACACAGGCCAGCTTGAAAAATGTTTAAGAAGAAGCAACTAAGTTTCTTAAGAGAAGAAAAAAAAAAACACATGCAAACTCAAGGAGGAGCAACATAACTCCTACCTAGTGTGCAAGGAAGCACTGCAAGCCTGCTCTCAGTGTGTACTGGTGACTGAACTCCACAATGAACACTATGTACAAAAGAAAATAAGGAGGAGCCACATGGCAGGTGGCCTCCCGCTCTGGTCTCATTTCAGTTTAGAGAACTGATCTTTGGCAACTTGACTAACTAACTAAAAACGCGAGCACCAAACTGTGATGGTGAAAATCACATGTGGACACTGATCATGCACAGAATGGCTGAATGTGGACAGAAGGGGCGAGCTGCAAAGTGGAGGCAAACAACAATAGAAGATGCACACGTGTTCGTGCATGTGGCTGCGTTTGCAAACCTGCTCTTCTATTAATGTCTTTCTGCACACACACACACACACACACACTCACACAATTCCTCCTCCACAGAATAAAGGGGAATGGGGTTTAAGGGATGGTGATTACCTGAAGCGGGACTAATGGCTCTGCATCCTCCGGCTGCCAGACCTCGACCACGCTGGTGGACATCTGACTCAGAGCTTCGTGGGAGCAAGAAATCAACAGTGAGTTTATTAAGAAACATGAGCGGAAAAGCAGCAGCATTAAGTAATGGAGGTTATTATGAGTATCTAGTATATTAATACAAGTGAATCAAGTGAACAGCAGCGAGATGACAACCACACACACACACACACACACACACAGGAGAGGAAATGACTTAGCCTGACAAAGGCTGTTTGCTAGCTGCTCGGGTTCGGAGGAAGGTTAGCTCGGTGGCTAACGAACTTGGAAAACACATCTCCATTGCTACTGCAGTGTACACGACTACAGCTCGTGTATCTCACCGTGGAGCTCCTGTTCCCCTCGATAAATACCCAGTTTAAATCCCGATGTTAAGTTTATTCACCCCCTCGTCTGAAAAGTTAAGGTTTCGCAGAGAAACAGAACAAGGAACTGGCAGCTAGCATGAACTAGCAAGCTGACACACACACACACACACACACAAAAAACCCTCCTCTATAAAAAATAAAAATACACCTGGGTCACTTCACTAATTCAGAAATATTTTAACACATATTTATATTTTAATAATTCACCACATGGGCATTTGCTGTCAAGTCAAGCTAGCTAATTGTTTTTTTTTGCAACAATCGTGTTTTTTTCCTTTACGCAGCAGCGAAAATAAAAACTAAAGGTGAGGACGAACCTTGCAGCTGAGCCCCTCCGTGCTGCACGCAGGGTAAAAGTAATTGCAGTATTCCTAGTAGTATATTGATCCACGTTTTTCTGTGACAGCGGCCGCCTGGTTGGAAGTCCCGTAGCCCCGCCATGCTGCCCTCTCCTCAGCTAGCGACCAGCCGTGTGTTCCGCCGCGTTGCTTCTTTCTTCTCTCGCCGAGCAGCGGCGGCAGCAGCAGCGGCAGCAGCAGCTCCCTCCCCCTGTCCCTCCTTCTCCTCCTCCTTCCTCCTCCTCTGCTGCACATCCAGGATCCACAACAACACTGTTCACCGTGTGTCCGCTGCAGGAGGCAACACACAGCTGATTAACACACAAGTAGAATGTCCCCCGACTGTCCCCTGTCTTCAGCTTCTGTCCTTAATATTTGATTTATCACATTCGCTCAGCTACGTTTCAGAGGCATACAATAATCTGTCTCTGTCCATCCACTGGTTCATGTGCAATCCACTGGTTATAGAGTATTGCATGTTTACTTATTAGTACTTGACTGATGTCTTTTGTCTTTGTCTCTTTACTGACCTCTTTGCTGCTGTAAACATGGTAAATGTCCCTGTTGTAATAAATGTAATAAATGATTATCTTATCTTCCCTTTCTTATCTTAATTTAACTCTGGTACCTGGTGATTTAATAGGACTGCCATGTAGTTGAGGTCAACAGGGGCAAACAATTGTTTTAACCCCCAGGGCTCCACAGAAGTGAAATAGTTCAGACTAGCTCAACTTCAACCAGCAGTGAAATGCTGACGCATCAGTGCAATTGTGCACTATATCTCAGTCAGTGGCCATTTAACGTTTGATATGTGAGCACATTTAGCTCATGAGATGCACCTAGGTATGATTTTGAAAGAAGGACTCTGAGTATTTTATGTTGTATTTATGAGTAAAGCCTCGTCTGAATACCTAACAACTGTCTTACTAGTAGGAATAGTCCACTGACAGAGCAAACATTGGAAAAAAAATACTTTATACCTATTTGACTGAGGAATTTTACCTGCCTCAGTGTCATTATATAATCTAAATAGGTTGAGCCAAAGTTTTTAATATAATTGCTGTATTGGTGGTCTTTTGAAAGTCACATTAAACCTAAGGAGCTGCAGGAAATGACTAAGTTGAGTCAGTGAGCTAAAACTATGCTCTGCTTCAGCAGCTCTGACTCATGAATCATAGCTGAGACGAGTTGGGCAGGTACACACATGAACATACGCTCAGGTTACTAGTTTGCAGGTATGTCAGCTCCACCAAACAAAACTGCAGTGAGGTATTTAGATTTTAGTGGATCAGTGTTGCTACAGGCACCAGTGTACTAACAACAGGCGTAGGGTTGCCACAATAAATACATATAATAGTGGCAGTTGCACATTGTTCAGAAACAGATTAGTATAAATAATTGAACTTAAGCATTAGAAAAAGGAAACTCTCAACAGATTGTTATCACTATTGTGTTTCCAAGGTTGCATATTGCTCACATGACATTTGTCTCTTAATACCAACATGTTCTCCTTATTGGCTAAGAGATAAAACAAAAGAAATTAACGTGTTAACACGTCATTAACGACAAGACAAGCAGAGTATGTTTGAAATTTAAATCAACAAACCCATATAAACATTACAACTAGGACACTGAGTAAACAGAACACTACCTGTTCTACATCTGGTTGCGCAGAAAAAGGAAAACGCAGCGGTTTAGTTATTCTAGATATTTCCTTTTCTGTTCATACAGAGGGAAACGAAATGCAAACAATTTGGAGGCCTGCAGTAAATGCATATGAAATAATTAATTAATTAAAACTCAGGACGTTTTATATGCAACACATGAAAAGGGGTTCTGCAAAAACATAAATGCATTGTAAATATTTACAGCGCTTGTAGACAAAACATATCCTGAATGTATCATCTGTTATTTAGTGTAAATAGTGCACAAGCATTTGATTCCAAACCATCTGCTTAAACCATATAAATTAGATCACTGGTGACACATTGGTGCTAAGTGTTGATTCCTTTCCATCATCAACTTGGAGTTCTCAGTTTTCATGCAAACAGGTGTCCCAAACGTCTGGCTGCTCAGAACCCTCTCACTCCTCAGAGCCACTAATGGACGGTTCAGTCTCTGGTTGCACCAAAGCAAAATATCTGCTGATAAAGTCCATCTGTTGCAGCAAACTCACGGCTATCCATCCTTACTCAAAGCCCACCCCCAGGCTTTTATATAAATCCTGGTAGCTTTATTTTCACTCTAATGCACAGAACAGACGTTAGAAAGGCAGAGACCAGGTGTGGAGGCTTCAAACTGAAGCTTAAACTCTTATTTCTCTCTCATTGTGTCCACGAGCAGAAAATAAATCAGTCCATGTAGTCAAAGTCCTCAGGGATCCCAAAGGCTTTATTGATGCGGCTGTCGTCAAAGGCAAACTTCTTCTTTGTCCACGACTTGATGGCAAAGACATTATCTGAAAACAGAAAATCACACTTCATGAGTTGAGATGCAATGATAGAGCTGCCCATCAGGATATTTAAAGTACAGCAGCAAAGTCAGTCTGGGATAAAGAGAGCTTCACTCTGATGTCAAATTCTTTCAGTAAACAAATCTAAAAATTCCCCAAATCTGGTCTGGTTGTGGCTCTCATATTTTGAGAACCATTCATCTAATCACCTTCACACTTAAAGTAACAAGGAAGTGCAGTGTGGAATGTGGTGCGATTTGGACGCATGCTATGTTCAATATTGATAAACCTTAAATAAACAGGTCTATGTACAGAGTACTTCACTGAACTTTGAATAAACAGGTAAACAGCTCTGTGTGCAGTAGTGGTGGAGCAGCTTCAGGGTTCTGTGGACTGAGCCCAGCAGTCGGTCTTTACTTACCACAGCTCAATTACTGCAAGTCACTTTTAAAAATTCAGAGAGAAAGCAGCAAACAGCCCATTGCAAACAGGCAGGTTTAGAATGAGCAGTGCACAACTACCCTCTAAAGAAAGCATTTAAACAACAGTCTGCGTTTTCATTTAACTGTGGGTCAAACGCACTTGTTTGTCTTGTAATGACAATATCTAAATATCTCTTGAATCTAATGATTTATGGAGGTTCTGGTGAAATAAATGCAGCTACATAGTAAAGACAGCAGTATACTAATGTTTTCTGCATTAAAAAGGGTTCAAAAAGATGAACCCACCTCTTCCTCCCATCCAGGTAAAAGTGGCATTACAATGGTTCCAAGGAAAATGTAATTTACTGTTGTGTAGCTATTGGTCATCCAATGGATTTGGTGAACACAATATAGATCAGAGCCGCAACATAATAAATGAATATTACATCTTGTAGTTTAAAAAGTAGCTGTTGTTGTCAACAGTGCTATGAGGAACCATCTAAGGCGGTTTCGGTTAGTACTGTCCACCACAGATGAGGGAAGTGAGACTCAAGGCAGAGGTAGGTATGAGTCACAGCGCCTTAAATTTAGTATAATTCTATGTCAGTTAAGGGAAAATGTTCTTAGTCAGACTGACAATGTGACTCAGGAGAAATGTTGAGCCAAAGAGTAGTGAAACACTGCAGGCCTGGCTGGTTACCATGACCCCCAAAGGTCAGCTGTCTCCATGGATACCACTGAGGTCAACTAATGCACACACAGAGAGCCTAAGTGCTGACGACCAGGAGGTGACATGCTGGAGACAAAGTGCCCTTACAGCTTTCGTCAAGTAAGTAATCAACGGAATGAGCCATTCCCAGTCATTGTTACGCTAAGATTTTGCTGAAAATTCAGGTGACCTTAGCTGCTTTCAGACAAGCACTGAATATTTTCTCCGAGGGAGGTGCACGTGTGAACGCAAATGTCCGAGTGAGAGGCAATAAACCTTCGCTGTGTTGTGCATGTGTGAGCGGCAAACTCTGGGTAAACTCTGTAGCTAATTCTCCAGATTTTACCCACAGGTCATGTCTGAAAACAGCTTTACTGTAATAAATGTATTATATATGAACAAGAGCCAACAGAAAATGTATCACTCACTGTTTTCATATGTTAAAGTCCATTCTTGACCAAATATATTAACAATTTTCACAAGTTCCAGTCTCTGAGAAGAGGAGATTTGATTGTCATATATAATGAAAGTAATGTGTCCCTTTGAGATCATTGAATACAATTAATTACATTAATTAACATTAATTGATAATCATGATCAGTTGTCAATTATAAATAAACTCATTTTTGTAATTCCAGACTTATCCTAGCTCTGTTTATGTATTTTAAATTAGAGATGTCTTACCTGTCCACCTGGAGACAGCTTCTTTAGCTACGACATTTGACTTCCCTGAAAAAAGAAAAAACACAAATTAAATGAATGACTCCTTCAGGTAGTTTTCGCATTTCACTGCAACAACATGTAATGAAAATCTCATATTACAGGTGATAGAAACATTTTTCTTTATGTGTTGCAAATCCATAAAGTATGTCCATATACTAACATATATTTGAGAGCAAGAAACTGCGTGTACAGAAAACAGGTGAAAGTCTATCGTCCTCAGAGCAGAAATTTTTCTTGCGACAAAGCCTCTCAAATATCAACGTATGAAGTAAAATACATACATACAGGCAACACAAACAAATGAATCCAGCAATCAATTAAAGAAGGTTTGGTCAGTGATGTGATTGTTGGACAGCTGCGCCAATACTGTAAGTATATGGACAGTTAAGCCTCCACTTCCCTGCAACTAGAGCTGGGCAGCTCATTGAGTAACCTGAACAATGTGCTGTAACTGAATAACCCTGTTTCTGAGAGATATATTTGATGATCTATAAAAATGAGCCCTGAACAACAGCAGGGAACTCCATTTAATTCCCATGCATAGAGTATTGTCTTTACCTTTAAGCAGTACTTAATGAAATAATTAATTAATTAATTTTATCGAGTCCACGATAATTATCTACAGATGTTGATTTAGCTGCAACAACGGGAAAGAAGCCAACCAAATTTGGTGCATTCATCTCAGTTGTTGGAATGAGCCTCTACAGGTGTCACACCCTCCACACCTTCTCTGCTTATTTTAGCGTTTAATAATAATGCCACAGATAAAACAAAAGTTGATCGTGACGAAAAACAGCAGCTCCAAATGGGAGGGACTGAATGGAACAACTTCTGACTCACGGACCTGGAGTTTGTAATTTAACTTTATGGCTGGGGATTCAGATGGCAAGAGAAACTTGATTTTTGATCTGCTCACATGCGCAGGTTATTCTTATAAAGTTTTACTTGTGTATTCGGCTTTGGATGTTGTTATTCACTGATCAACAGAAAATTCCTTGGTTTTTAACCTCACCTGTTACCACAACATCTTACTGGCATCAATGGGTGTGGCAACATTGTCAAAACCTGACAAATCTTGAGCAAAATCAAAAATGTTGTCTGTTCACTCTGTCGCAGGCATTTGTGTTTCCAATGGCCATTACTGTGAGAACGCCTCGTACTGTGGGTGTGATCTAATGAGATAAACTACATACACACGACCAAAGTCCAATGCACGAAGGCATTAAAATTCAGTTTTCAGATAGATTTGCCAAAAACATCTATACATAAAAATGTATAAGCAATAAATAGTGTCCGATTTCAGGTGAACAGAGGTAAACAAGGAAAGATAAGGAACTGTGCTTCTGCTAGCCTACAAAATGTATCTGTGAAATACCGTTCAGAAAAAGAAAAAACTGCTTTTAGAAAAAGCAACAAATACTTAAATACTATTTAAACAAAAGTGTGCGTTCAACTCTCACTATCCCCTTCCTGAATATCCTTATAAGGGAGAAGTGGTTAAACTGAATACTGTTGTTGCAGCAGTATCTGAACAGACATTTGCTTCAAAGAAGCTTCTTTGAACCAATGAGCAACACATCTGCATCAACAGGTCTGAGCGAGACCATTTTGCAACTTCAGTAAAACCCCTTCAGGTGTAGACATATCATAGAGTCATGCACACAACGCTCTCATGTGCGTGTGGTGTAGTTCAAAAAGGAGAAAACAAGACTGCAGGCAAGTGGAGACAAAAGCAAAGTACAGAATAAAATGAAAGAAAGCCTCTCCTTTCTCTGCCTCATTAAACACTGGGTTCATCTTTCTAATTAAGGTGCGTCTTTGAATGAGCAGAATACAGGTACAAGCCAAGCAGGAGGAAATGTTGCCTCAGATTTCAGTTAGAGGGGCAAGATCGAGAGAGTTGGGGCATCTACTTTGACCAAGGCCCAAACTGTCATGACAACTATCAATATCAACTGGTCTAAACATTTTTATCATTATATAATCTTTGGTCATATCGCCCAGTTCTACTTTCATCAGATCGTCACAAATCTCAGTTTACACAGATGTATTATCAAACACTTTCTTATAAAATACAATGTAAATATATATGAATAATTATGACGATACAAATTTAAAGAGAGTTGAACTGCTGCTGTGGAGTGACTGTAAGCAGATGAGACATGTTGTCGTGTTGGAATGGAAAAAAACAGCTGAAGTGTGAGCACAAAATTATTGTCTGGGAGCAGCAGGTAAACAAAACTGATATTTTTATGACACCTTAACTACACGTGTACATAGAGTGCCAAACACACACCCCTCAGGTGAATCATGAACAAAAAGCTGCATGGGATGTTTGCAATACCATTAATAGCTGTGTCCAAACCATACAACAGGTGCATCAGTCAGTAAAGACGTCATTTTCAGTGAACTTGTTTTTGTCTCAAAAGCTCTTAACCTCATCTCATTCAGTCCGACATTAAAACTGAAAAACTAGTGTTCAAACCAGAAAAAGAGAGAAGATGTAAAGTGTTGAGTGATCGTTTATATTCTCACTTCCTCGCTCACAATTTTGACTTCTACCGTGAGAAAGTCTGACCTTGTTGCTGAGCAATACAATTCCAATTGATTGGAACCTGAATTAAAGCTACAATATTTGACTTTTTCTAGAATTGTATTTAGTTAATTTCTTATTTTAAGAGCTGCTGTTAAAAGCCCCAGGAGCTGAGGCTCATCAAAAAACCCTGGCTGCAGTGAGCGGGCCTCGCCCTTCTGACCAATCAGAGTAGGCTAAAGTCAGGCGTTGGGACACATGGCTCTCGATGAGTATGTGAACGCCCTTCTGGCTGGTGCACGAGATGTACAGTAGGTGAAGTGCAGGGTGGAATGTGACAGAGCAGGCTGAGGGAGCTGTGGGAGGAGCAGAGTGATCGACTAAATCAATTTAAGCACTTAGATCCAGTTGCTTCCCATAATGCATTTGGGTGCATTCAGACCTTATATGTAGAGCTGCATGGACATCCAAGATAGCGTTGGGTGGAACGTGTGTGTGTGGGGGGGGGGTTTGAATGTGTAAAATATGTTTTCATTGCAGCCCTGGTTAGTGCTGGTTCACTTCACTGGTTTATGTTTTGAATATCTTAAAGAAAAGATGAAAATGTTGAAGCCAACAATATTTGCCAATTTATAGTAAGCGGTGAAGTAAAAAAGCTTTGATATGTTTTAGTCATAAACTCCTCAGGTGCTTTGTTTCTCGGGATGTTTTCTTCACTCGTTTTAATAAAAGATTTTCACTGGTTGCAAAACAGCACCATCTGCCTCTATGAGCCTCTTGATGTCAGAACCCAGTGCTCCAACTATTTTTCAATTAGTCTGATTTCCTTTTTATAACAAAAGCAATGGTGAAAATTTAAAAAAAAAAGGGGTTTCTTTTCACAACAGTTTGCCTTCATTGCTGGTAACTGAGTGCCTGGCATCAAGAAGAAAATGCAGGTGACGGCTTTGTTTGATGTTTTCTAACGTCTCCATTTCTGTCTAGATTACAAAGCAGCCTCAGAGTTGTTGTCAAATGATTTTAAGACAAACAAGAAATGGCTGAACCATGTTCGATCAATTCAAAACCGAACTGCTTTGTTTGTGGAGTGCTATATAAATAGATACAGTATGTGACATGACACTTTTCATACACTCAAGTGACCAAACAAATCTAAACCTCTTTAAAATGTCATGTACTGTATGTACAGTCAGTAAAGTGACCCTGCAATAAAAAAAATACTACCGTGCTGAAGTTGTGTGTTTTTACTCACTCATCTCATCGACAACTTCCGGGTCACATTCTCTGTACTTGTCCACCTCGGCCTGCAGCTGAGTTCGCTCCTCTCTCAGAGCCTGCAGCTCCTTCAGCAGGGAGCTTCTCTCTTTCTGCACAGACACAGATCAGTTTATGATCATCATTCATTTGATTTTATGCATGTTACGTTAAAAACATATCATACAAAGTAAGGAAGTATGTGAAACTCTTCTTACTGTATCTTGACGTCCAACTTTCGCCTTTTCAACCACTTTCTGTAGAGTCACTTTTCTCTGTTTTGCATCAGATATCTTAAAAGAAAAGCAGTAAATGAAATACAATTATTGACATCAAACTACTTTCAAGATCAGATATGATTTTACAAGGAACAACCTAATTCATAAACCGCAGCATGGGAACGACAGCAGTTCCATAGTCAAATTACGAGGCAAAGATCACGGAACAAGAAATACCAATAAATACACAACTTAATAAGATTTCATGAAACAAATTAAATCAGATGTGCTTCACAATATTTTCCAGTGGAGCAACAGTCTTTGACCGTTTTGATTTTGGATTTAGAAAAGAAAGACACAAATGTTTCCCACATCAGTTGAAAACAAGTCTAAACTTGGGCACGTGGATTGATTTCTTTTGCTTCATCTTTGTTAGATGGCAGATGAAGAAGGTTTATAGAGTAATCAATCATACTGTAATTTAACATCTAAAAATAAAATCATGTTATGTGATAAATGAATTAATTTACTGAAACAACTCAGTATTGACAAGACCATATTAGACATGTAGTTTCTTAGAATAGGATCAGTTGTATAAAATGGATTCCATTATCAAATTACAAAATGAGCACAGTGAAGTCAGCTCAGTGCTCTTGTATTTTTGCCCCTGTCCGTTCGCAGAATTACACAAAAAGTGCAGAGTAGATTTCCTGAGAAACTTGGTGGGCGGATGGGACATGGGCCAAAAAAAGAACCCATTAAAGTTTCTTTTCACTTTCTTTGATATGACATTATATTTCCACCACTTTCTTAGTGAATAATTCAGGGATCTTTAGGAAACTGATATGTATGGTGTGTGCAATTTGGTGTAGCTTAAGTGAATTGAAGGGGACTGTTGGGCCTTGGTGGAGCATTAAGGTCGACCACAGCATTTCACAAATGATTCATCTGCATTAATATATAATTAGAGTGCTGCTAAAGCAAACTTTTAGTTAAACTGACAGAAGGAGCAATGCTGAAAATGATACTTCATTTCTCAATTCTTTGTCATAACATCCAGGATTCTAATTTATAATATAGTCTTAAATAGATGCTGCCATTTAAACATAACATACAACATATTCCGTGGTGTCTTACGTATGGCTGCACAGTATATTATTTCGTGTTGTGGTACAACCAAGTGTCATTATCTAGAGACAGATTGCGGCTTCGCAACATTTAACTTTTGTCCTAAATATCTGGTGGCCAATGTTCTGTGTGGAGTCACCACCCTCAAACCATCTGCCTGCCATGCAGTGGGAGACGGAAATGGGTCATCACAGATAACTGCATATTCAAAGACAAGCAGTGATGACTGTGATGAGAAAAGATCTCTCAACCAAGTGAGACATGAGTTTAAATGGTTATTTAAAATCAGATCTAAAACAAAAAACAACACATAAATAAAAGGTTTCCTCTTTATTCAAATGCTGCTTTTGTTTTTACTTAGAGGAACGTTCTTCCCATTTTCCCTCTCTTCACTTTCAGTTAGTTTCAGTTAGTAAGTGTTTGTGTCCTTTACTGTAAACTAGTGAACGAAGAAACTTCACCTTTAATCCCTTTATTTATTTGTCTATATTTTCCGTTGTCTCTCCTCTCAGATCATCTCTGTGCTGATGTATCTTATATAACACAACAAGCTGGTTTGAAACTACACGCTTTCACCACAACTCTGAGGAAAGACATCTGAATTCTCGAGTTCAGAGCTCGATCTCTTTGTTGTAAACACCGCGCTGCTCTGCTTTGATCATTTTTCCATTTAGTAACATCTGCAGATATTGAGATATCGGGTCAGACCAACTGTGAGGCCTCACCTGTTTCTGCAGCTCCTCCAGTTTGTGCTTGCGCGTGTTTAAGGCCTTACTGGGGAAGGCCCAGTAGTAGTTGGACGTACCCACTCTTTCACAGTCCACCATGTTGTCATCCACCAGGCTCTGCAGCACTTCCTTCACAGTCATGGGAGCTTAAAGCAGCAGAGACACATGAGAGGAAAGGACACCTTCACATTAAAACTTCACTATCCTTGATTTTCCATCATTACATTGAGTTCCCAGAGTTGATGCTATATGTGGATTACTGATTTGATTTGTGAACAGCTGATTCAGCAGGTACGGTCGATACAAGCTGAGAAGACTTGGATCTATTTGACAATACAAACTGCACATTTTAGCAGAATGTCATGTTATACCAAAGGATTAAAAAAAACACAAGCCAGCATCAGGTCTCATTCTTATGTTCTCCTGGCAACTGTTCAGAAAACTAAACCCACACATCTGCAGCATATCTGGCCGGTTTATATTTATCTGAGAGAGCGCTGCATGAGAGGATGTAATAGAGCAGAGTTACATCTTGAACAGTGTCAGTGTTGAAATGTGATACTCCCACACGTTAGCTCAGCCGCTCCACCGTGAAACTGAAAGAGCTAATCTGCTGTGGTAAGGGTCTGAGTCCTGAGAGGATGTTGAACATCAGCAAAAGTAAAAACGAGGATTGAAAGTGAAACACTCTTTCTGTGCTTGACTCTGCATTTCCCAATCCTTCGTGTCTTTTTATTGTACGTGTGACTCAATGAACTCTTTGCCCCTTTTAAAATCACTCTTTTTTGTAACAGTTACTCGTGTGTTCTTACCACTGAGATCATACGCTTGGCCCCTTTCTCACATTTTCTCCTCCTCTACAGGAAAAGGTGCCCAAAATGTTGAGCTCTTGTTGCCCCCCCTCCCCCCATCATTCAGTAACTACATTATGCCCCAGTACAAGGGTCAGAAACATGTGCTTTTAATCACAGCAACAAGATCCAGTTTCAGCAGATTAATGTTTCGTCCAGTTTAAAACAAAACCCCTCCTCGGTTCTCTCGGAGACACAACATGGATCTGTTCCTCTGCAGGAGTGAGCACTTTAAAACCTCCTGTTTTCACACAATCTCCCCTGATACTCGTAATGTAAGGCTCTATATTTACACAGAGAGAGAACTTGTGTTTTATTTATTTAAAACCCTTTCAGCTGCACTCTGTACTATGAGATTACTGCTGTTCATAAGTCTGGTTATGCTTATGCAGACTGAATACAGTTAAGATGGTAACGGCTAATCCAGGTTGCCATAGTTAATTCTGCAAACATGTCACAGCTATGTTTATACATGAAGGTGTAATGGAAGTTGAAAGAGGAGTATAGAAGTGAGCATTATGAGGGCCAAATCTGGTTCTCCAACATTAAACTTTGACCCCACAAACAACTCATTTTACATTCAATTAAATATTTGCATTATTTCTCATATATTTACTTAAGGTAGCAATGTAAATAGAACACTGTGTAACCTGTCACTTCAGTTCCTTTCATGTCTCGTAATGTAACACAATGCATGCAGTTGCTAAGTCAACTTAAACATAAGCTACTATAACTCAAACAAAAATTGCTCAGACAAAAATTAACTTGAGTGTAACACTATTAATTATCTCTCAAGTACCCGCAGCCTCACTGGGCTGTAGGAAAATGACGATGACAAATAGGCATGCAATGAAAATAAATGAGCCCAAAAACATGTTGGTGTCATTTTGCTACAGACAAATATTCAAGACCTTTGCAAGTGAAATGTACCATTTTAAAGTATCTACTGTTCAGCGTCTGTTCAAATTTCTTTCTAAAAATAGATTTCTCTGACCTTTATAACATTTAGAAAACCAGCAGGTGAAATGCATGTATGTAGCAGACATCAAATATTGGCAGATCATTAAAAAGTTGCTCGTTACTCACATATGCCCTTTGTCTTTGGGGCAATCTTCTCAATGTCTTTCAGCTGAAAAACATCTTTCTAGAAATTGGGTGAGAAAATGTGTTTTTCAGTATCACGGAAAATGTATGTAAATTAATATAATTAATACATCTATGCATTGATAGCCAACAATATTTTAAAATGTGTAGTTACATGACTTTGAATGTCAATGTATTTATCGTAACCCATTTTGAGGAGCCTATTTACTTTACTTTAATTCAAACAATTGTATTTAGTGTGATGCTGAAACCTTTTTAAGCTTGTTTTATTAGTAGTATATTCTTATTGTTATTATCATTATTAACCAGCCAAATAGAGCTCCTGCTTCTTCACATTGAAAGGTGGTTGGGGTATTTGTTTAGTATGCCTGCTGGGCGCCTTCAATTGGGGGGTCTTCTGGGCACATCTGACAAGAGACCCTCGGGTGGACCCAGAACATGCTGGAGAGTATATGTATCTCATCTGGCATTAGAAGATCTACATATAGGCTGCCTTTCTTAAAGGTTAACTGCGCAGGATTTTCCTAGAGCACAATTTATAGTTTTATACCAAAATAATCCCAATCATGACCCACTAGGATGGTGTATCTGCTGCTCGGCGTTTGGGATGATTATCTGCTGTAACCTTTGTGCGAAGGGTTCGTAGCCCCCAGTCAATGAACAGACAGCAGGGTGCAAGGGCAAGTCTCAATAAAAACTAAGCAGCCAGGTTACCTCATTTGCACCATCTCTGTGTGCTCTGTTAGCAAACAGACCTGCAGCCTTTTAAACATTGGTGCATGTTTAAAAGGCTGCAGGTCTGTTTGCATGTTTTACTGAAGATGGTTTTGAGTTACACACACACACACTGACAGAGGATGAATGTAGGTACAAAATTGCCTCAAGTGCAAAGACTGTATTTTTGCTAATTTTGCTTTAGAAAATGTCTTATACTAAAAGTTTCTGTTAAAACTGTTGAGATGCAATCCTTTTCAGAAATCAGCTCTCAGTTTGGTTTAAAATGGTGCTTGTGTTGCATTGTGTGGCAACGGGAAAACTCACCGCTTCAAAGAAAATCTCCATCATGCGAGTTCTCTTCTCCTCCAAACTCAGTCCTCTCTTCTTTGACTGTAGCAGAAAATGTGATGTGACATGAAATAACTCCCTGGCGAAGGATTTTCTACTTCTACTATTCAGAAAGCAACAAGAAACTATTCGTATTCTCAACTTACAATTTGAAATATGAGTTTGTCAGTTATCAGAACCACAGACAGAACATGCTGCACGTACATCAGTGTTGTTGTAATATGCTTTGCAGCCACGTGTGTCAGTAGAGAGCAACACTGCAGCCGACGAAGAAGAAACCCGACATAGCTCCATCTTGGATTTCACATGATAAATAGTCGTTTAGCTCAATATTGCTAATGTTTGAATAACTGCCCTGAACAGTGGACAGTGACGGTAATGGTTAAATAACACGTGAAGGTGACAGCATGTCGTTAAATGTATCGCGTCGTCGCCCACTCGTGTTAGTTAGATGCTACCTATTAGCTAATGCTAACCCGGGGCTGCGTCACACGAACAGCTGATGAACGTGAACATTTACTCACCATTGTGTATTAACGGTTGTTGTGATGTCACTCACTCACACACACGTGGTTATTAAGACGCAAAGGTTCGCTGCCCTTGCTCTTCTCCTTCTTCTTCTTCTCTTTATTGCTCTTCTTCTCCTTCTTCTTCTTCGCGTCTAGTTTAATCCCAGGAAGTCAAACGTCACATTCTGAATTTTCCCGCGGAGGGATATGACGTCATCGTGTTGCCTTCCTCGTCCCTCGTAAATTGCAGCATCCCCGCGCGTTGAAGAGAACTGGAACAAAAAGTTTTTTAAAGAACAATTAAGTTGTTGTTGTTGTTGTTTTTAGATTTAATGTCCCGAAAACCTTCAAACACAACCGCTGACGAGAAACAGAAATACATACTTAGTTGGCACAGACACAGTAATAAGTTATTATTATTAAGTTATTATTGTTATAGAAACTGAAATAAAGTGAATTAAGTTGTTATAGAAACTGAAACAAATTACTCCTGAAGAAATGTTGATGGCTTTAACTTTCATTTTGATTCTGTATTGACACAACACTTCTGTCCTTATCTTCCCCGAAGTGGCACAAATACAAGGATTCAACCCAAGAGTAACACACATTTATCAAAATATACAAACTATGTACGCAGTTCTTTTTAAATGATATAAAGTCTTCAAAAAGTCTCCAATTATTTGATGTACTATTGAAATCAAATTAAGTAACAAACAATATCTTATATATCAAATAGATATAAATCAATATATCAATCAGTTTAAACAGACAGGAACAGAATATATTAACCATTAACTACAGTCAACTGCAGACCATATACTACATCTCTTTAGTTTATCTTATTTTTTTTTAACTTCAGGAAGTCCCTACATGCACATTTCCCCATTTAGAGGACTTCAATGACTCCCAGATTACCCAAAGCATGCTGTCTCACATTATCTATCCAATTTGATAAAGTGATTGATTTGATTGACACTTGCCCTGCCCCCTCCTGCGACATCACCCCCATGAAGTCATGTGATTTCAGTCTCATGATATCCATGCTAAAGTCAGTGTCCTGTTGATTATATTTTGTTAGAACAGGAAATACACACACTTAAAGTGTCCCACATTACACAATGTCCCAGATTACCCGAATCCTCCCTACCCGTTTCTGAACGGAAAACCCAATGACCAAAAGACACACGGACCATTGGTGCTCATATTCGTTCAGTAATTGTTGGCTGGAATAGAACAACCTTCCCTGAGAATTTTTTGTTTGTGTGAAACAGAAAAAGTCTGCAAAATGTAAACTCGATTACTGAAGATCTAAAAACTAGATTTTGAAATTGAATAAATTCGAAAGCCTGGGGACATGAGATGGAGCCTGAAATCAAGTGAGTGATCAATCAAACAATGGAAACATGGAAACCTCTGAGGGGTCTGTGGCCCCTGGTTCAGTTGTCTGCTTTGACCTGTTAGTGGATACATGCCAGCTATATCGTCTTATTTCCTAACAGATTACAACACAACCATCTTTTCTATGGGCACTTTAATTCCATTTGGCATAACAAATACAAACAAGACAATGGAAAACAAATAATTTAACACGATTGTGTAGAAAATAAAAGACCGAAATTCAGGACACCTGATGAAAACTTTGTGTAAAGACAAACAGTTTTTGACCAAGGCTTTCAAATAGCAGCACAGTGCATTTTCACAACACACTGCTTAACTACATATTGCATCTACAGCTTGTTAGTTCTATAGATTATTTTTCCTTGAAAGATGTGAGAGCACGTGGAGAGGATGGAAGATGATCACAGTCCTGTAATCTGTGTGTGTGATGTACGCTGCAGCACAATGAACTAACCCTGTGAGTGAGGACTGACTCATATTACTGAGTTTATTTTCAGCACTTCAGCTATTTATTAAATATTTACTAAAATGATGCACTTAATCACGGCAGATTGTGTAAGTCGTAATGTCAAGAGGCTTCTTACACAGCAGAAGTCAGCATGTGTGGTACTTTCATTTATCACAACACACACACACACACACACACTCTCTCTCTCTCGTATCTTGCACACACAAAACCTGAAGTATGGTTCATTTAAAGTGATGTAAATTACACTGACTCGTCATTTTCACACAGATAGAAGTATTTCAATTGAAACAGTGCCTCTATTCAAAGTTGATTTTGTTGATGTTGTTAAGTGAGTGCTTGAAATAAATGTCTATATTGTGCAAAGTGATATTAGCATGCACAGAGATGCCGAAACATGCTGGAAAATACCCTGCAACCTGCTGGGATATTTTTTCTTTTATATGGTGACCAGGCAAAATGTGAGGAGCATTTAACAGGAAGCTGCAGTTACTGAAACTATAAATAGTTTTCCCATTAACTTTCAGGTGATTTTCTTTGCTTTAATTTAACTCTCACTTAAAACAGTGCCCAACCATTTTTTTCTTCTCTTTTACGAACAAGTGCAACAGCATCATTTTCCAGTTTTCCTTCCACATCACAACAAATCAAAGATCTAACATTATGTACAAGACTAAAGCTTTATTTTGCAAATCAGTGTGGGTAAGATGGAATGTGAAAACGGGTGAATGTGTGACACCTCAGTCAGATACAGATCCTCTTGCTTCATTCACGTCACACAAAACATCCCTGTTTTGTTTCCTCGGGGTCAAACAGGACGCCACACGTGGAGAACAGTCAAACAGATGGCACAACGACAGCACGATTCAAGGATGAATGGGTGAGTGCAAAATGTGCCGGTCGCTTCGTTCTTCTAATGTGTGTGTGTGTGTATTTATGTACAGGTGTGCAGTTTGTGCGTCACAGGGAGAGGAGCTACTGCAGGTAGCGGTAGACTTTGAAGCAGTGGTTTCCAGAGTCTGCGACCACAACGTGTCCGTCAGAGGTGAGAGCCAGACCCTGAGGGCCGTACAGAGGGTCTGCTGACGTGTTGATGTACGAGAGGAACGAACCGCTGCCGTCAAACACCTGAGAGACAGAAACATCATCACTGTTAGGTTTGTGTTAAACCAGGAAATGTGCTAAATGTGACAATCAAATGTTTAGATGTGATACAGTGAGTGTGAATTAATATTACAATACAATAAAAAATGCATAAATGAATAAAGGGTGGTCTATGAAGAAAAAGTTAAATAAAAGAAATTGGAAACACTATCATCATTTAGCAATTATGTCTAATACTACTTTTACTACTACTAACAATAATAATATTACATTTATATAATATATAGAGCACTTTTCACAAAGTGCTTTACACTGGCAACGAAATAAAACATATTGTTTGTGTGTTGTTATGGTGATGAACATATATATTTTTGGAAGTATCGAACAGCAGGGGGCGATGTTGTCAAAAATATTGGATCTTGTCACATGAACCAAACTCCAAAGATCAAATATTTGCAGGAAGCATTGCTACACATGTATTGATGATTAGCTTCTTCTGCACAAGTGAAAATGGTGCAGTGAAATATTACTGATGTAAAGACGGCAGGATGGCCCAACTTAAATCAATCATGTGAATCCAGAGTTCATCTGTGTAACACGAGGTCTGTGTGTGGAAATCACACGCAACTTCATATTCTGTGATCCAAATGAGAATACTTGTGTTTTCCACATACTTGTTGTTCTGTACTTTTCCTTTTGTACTGACCTGAATCCTGCTGTTGCCCCAGTCTGCTACTATAATGTTTCCATTAACATCCACTGCCACTCCTGTGGGTGCGTTGAACTGACCGTTTCCTTCCCCGTTAGAACCAAACTTCAACAAGAACTCTCCTTCTGTGTTGAACACCTGCATTTTGAAATATGAACAAATTGAAAAAATATCTCTCATAAAACATCAGCAGCTTTTAGAGCGTACACATCTGTAATACACTTCCGCTGCTCCTGAACTGAACTTACCTTCACTGAGTGATTGTGGAAATCAGTCACGATGATTTCATTGTTGTTGTTGACGGCAGCAAAATGTGGACCTGAATAAAAGAATGAAACAGTTTCTCAGATACAAATTCTGATCTTAAATGAGGTTAAAGCAACAGTTTGTTCCAGCAAACTGTGAGAGAACCGATGTTTTTAGTCGACGTGCAGTTTTTTAAGTAGATGATGCAGTTAAGAAAATCAAAACAGAAAAATGAAGAAAGAAAAATCAAATCACTCATGTTCAGTGGTCCAACATGCTGCTTCGAGGAAACTTGAATTCTGAATCTAATTATTAAAGAAGTATGTTTTCTATTGGTATCAGTGTAATGTAGCAGCATCTATTTGTTTTTCTGAGTTCATGACTCTTCTATACATTTTGAAACTAGATGTGATTTTGAACCTAGTTATACATTATTTTCTGGACTAATATGAGGTCACTGTGATGAAAGTGAGGCCACCAAGACCTTGACCTTTCACCTACGACCACAAAAAACCAAATCTGTTAATCTGTGAGCTAAAGTCGAATTTTAAAAGATTATCTCATGGCGTTCTTAAAGTTATCGTTTCACCAGGTGAAAAGGGTTTTGTGACGTCACAGTGACCTTGACCTTTGACTTAAGGCTATAAATCAAATCAGTACTTTCTTGAGTTCAAGCGAATGTTTGTGCAACATTTTAAGAAAAACCCTCAGAGCATTCTTGAGCTATCATGTTCACAAGAATGAATCAGATGGACGGACGTGTGGACGACATGAAAACATGATGCCTCTGGCCACAGTCTGTAGTCGGCGTGGAGACATAAAAACTCAGCGGCCAGAGGATGATCTTTATGTTTCCTGGACTGAGCGTCTTCATTCCACATGCAGGTGTGCACAGGCTGCGGAAAGACTGTAGGGGGCAGTGCAACGTATTACCATTGAGTGTACCTGCAAACTGCCTGTCCCCGTTGCCGCGGTTACCGAACTTGGTGACCAGCTTGCCATTGGGCTGAAAGATGAAGACGCAGCACGCCTTGTTGTCCACCACGATGATGTGGCCGTTTCTGTCCACCGACACACCTTTAGGGCCCATGAGCTTCCCCGAGCCGATCTTGCTCTGCAGCAGAAAAGTACTTTATGACTTAAATATATAGTAATATTAGTAGAGTACATGTTTAGTATCCCCCTTTTTAAAATACATTTAACATTATACTCAAAACATTATAAGTTTTCTGTCCCCATTTTCTAAAGAAATGTGCCTTTAGTTGCTTTAACAAGTTCTGTTTGTGCAAGATAATTGAATATAT